CAATAATAAAAAATGTTAACCTTTTAGAAAGCCATTTCTTTCAAATATATTCTCCATGATTCATATAATTATATTTCTCGAAATATCGATGACAACTCAACGATTAGCAACCTTTCCTTTCCTTGTCCTTGTCTTACTCATCTAGTATCTATGAGCAATCATCTTTTTCTCCTTTAATCGCATACTTCTTGTGTTTATCTACTTCTCGGTCCATCTATCCATACCTCCCTCTCTCCCTCCCTCCATCCATCCCTCTCTCCCTTCCCTCACTTTATTCGCAGATTCTTAGATACTTACGTTCATTTAGATAGAGAGAACTAGCGTTACGAGATGAGAGTACCGCAGGAAACGGGACAGCTTCGTCTCTCGAGTGAATGGATAGACGCATAGCAGCCGCAAGAGTAGCAGCTCGGACAAGCAGCTATGCGCTGCTTGTGGCGAGTAGGTGAGTAGGTAGGTAGGTAGGTAGGTAGATAGATAGGTAGGTAGGTAGGTAGGTAGGTTGACTCGTAGAGGTGAGGGTAACAGAGATACTGAGACAGAGAGAGAGAATCGACCCTCGAGAGTCTCTCTCTCTCTCTCTCTCTCTCTCTCTCTCTCTTTCACTGGTAGAACTGGACCGTCCGTATAGCATGCGCGTACCTTCTCCAATCATGAAACAGCCCTGTCCTCTCCAAGCACGGAGAAGCTCGTAAGCCAACGAGTCTCTCAAGTCCTTTTTTAGGATTCCACTTAACTTTTCATATCTCCCGTTTCTCAGTCGTAATTATATCGTACACCCGAGAACGTAATACGATGACGGATAAACGATATTCTCATTATTCTTTTTGTCCTGAAAGTATTTTTTGAAAAATAAATTGAGAAACAAAACAAAAGAAATAGAAACGATAAAGAAAATATTGTTATTTATAATAACAAAATGATAATGGAAAAGTAAAGAAAAAAAAAATTTCTCTTCATTTTACAATTAGAAAGTCCATTCGCGTTCATCATTTATTCTTTTATCTTTTGGAATTAACAACGATAATAAGGATCTTTTATCGTAAAAGTTTTCATCATCTTGTAGTGTCATTAAGCGGTAAACCTAATGTCAGAGTTCTTACGTGTCAATTCTTTAGAATATTAAAAGGAAGAAGAACGCGAAGCGAAAGAGAGAAAGAAAGAGAGAGAAAGAGAGAGGAAAAACCACGAAGGTTGGCAAATTTTTACGGTTCGTTGCTATTAATATTTGTTATTGTAGCTTTATTGAATCGTACGCATATTGCGTTCAAGAGAATCACACAGGAAACCACAGAACGTTCTAAGGTCGTCGACTTTAACGTGGAATTCACGTCACCCTGTACCTAAGTTCGTTCGTACAAATACACACACACACGCACGCACGCACGCGCGCGTGTATATATATACGCTCGTGGAACAATGATAATCAGACCGAAGAGTCAGCATTGTTGTCAATGTAGTTTACGAGCATCGCACATATGCTCTCGAGTACTACCAGGTATAATGCTACCTATACATATACATATACACACAAATATACATATAATATATATAAGTATATATTTATATATCTATATATCTATATATCTATATATCTATATATCGTATCGATGCTCGTCGCATTGTCAAACTCGTCGCTTTCAAGTGTGAAGTGATCTGTAAATCACGTACGACCCTTATTCATTGTTTGGCATTGCGATTTTTCTGATTTTTCGGATTTTCTCCAAATCAATGCATTTCTTCCTTTCTAGTTCTAACCCGCTTCGTTACGCGTCATTCCATATGACCGAACTCGATCGTTCCGCGTTTAATTTCAGATAATAATAAATAATAAAAAAAAAAAAGAAAGATATTATTGGCAAGGTCTGTGAATCATATTTTTAACACTGATACTACTGATATATTCATACCACGTCCGTCAATTTGATGATTACTTTGAAAAAAAAGGAATGAAGATAAAAAACAATATTATTCGTTATTATTTTTACTTTCATTTTTACTATAATAATAATTAAAGGAAAATGGATTTTAATTTACATATTCGTAATGATTATGATTCTAGTAATTATATTAAAATAAAAAATTTGAACGGATTTAATAGTTCCAGTAATAATACGAGTAATTTAATTTATAATAAATTATATTGAGTTTATAATAAATTAATAGCGAGATGATGATTTAGTAATTATATTAAAATAAAAAATTTGAATGGATTTAATATTTTTCAATGATAATATGAGTAATTTAATTTATTAATTTTTCGATGACATTGATGTTCTATAACAATCTTATTACAAAGTTTACATGACGCATGATCGCTCATAAAAAAAAAAAAAGAAAGAAAGAAAAATCATAGCTTGATTTATTCATTACTGATTAAAAGCGTATGTCAGCAACGAATATTTCCGAACGAGATGCGCTCAATAACGTGTCAGAATCAGAATCATTTATACGGCGCAATACGTAATCGATCGTAGCCCGATAATAACCATAAAGGGTCGAAATTAATTTCTCTCTTGCTCTAGCGTTTCCATAATATCCTGTGACTTTTCGTTTCGCCTATCTAACAATTTCAACAAATTTCATTGAAATTTCAATCGGTTATCTATATAAGAAAATCCGAAATATTTTATTTGTAACCGGTAACATAAGTCGGATCTCGTATGGAAATGGAAAGGTAATTGACTACGACGAATTTAAGCGGATTCCGATTAAACTATCGTAATGAGCGAATTGTAACATTAAGATAAGACAAAATATCTCAAAGAAACTCTTAAACGTAAATACGCGCTAACGACATATTATTAGAAAAATATTGATATAATAGAAACTTCTAACTCCGTTATCTCACTTCGTTCTTTCACGTTCGATCATTTCTAATTACTCGAATGCATACTTATATATCCATACGCATTTACCCGTAATCTTATTAATAGAGTATTTATGAAATTGTATAATCGAATTGTATATATATATATATATATATATATATATATATATATTTCCTAATGTTTCTTTCATAAAAGGTAGCTAGCCAACGAGAGCCAATATCATATCTTGCTAAACGAACCGGTTAAATGACGATAGTAAAACAAGATCGTAGTAGTTGGTGGACGTCGAGTAGAAGATCGGAGATGTTCGAATCGATTTCCGTTCGCATCTCGACTACTACGAACCCGCCTACGACGGGTTAATTATCTCTGCTTTTAAAAGCTTTGCCGGTGAGCAGCAGCAGTAGCGGTGGTGGCAACGGCAACAGCAACAGCAACAGCAGCAACGATATATACTCGCCTTCGACTCGCCTTTCATGCGCATCTCTTTTCATACTTGCTCTATCTTTCGCGCGAAGATAAAACGAAGCTGGATAAAAACACGGTGAAAGATAAAAGGGCGGGCAGAGAAAGGGCTGGAGAAAGGGAGAGTTTCTAAGGGAAAACTTACTTTCGAAATGGTCGCGTTTGAAGATACCGACAAAAAGAAAAAACAAGAAGAAAAAAAGGAAATATTATTAAATTTATAAATAATCTCATATCTTAATTAACGACATGTAACTACTGCGTCACTTGTAGATTACTTTCCTGAGGGTAGAAATGAAAACGATTATAAAAAGAAAAAAAGAAGGAATATTATTATTTCACTTATTTATTTTCCTTTTAAAGAATTAATCTTTACAAAAATCTTTACGAAAAAATTTCGTTCATTCTAAAAAAAAAAAAAAATAAAAAAAATAAAAAAAGGAAAAGAAAAGTGATCTCGTTTGAAAGATCATTGCAGCTTAGGAAAATCGCTATCTGTCGAAAGTTCGAAGGTTATAATCGAGATACCAACACAATTATTATCTTAAAGAAAGAAGTGCGAAATAAAAAAAGAAGAATAGAAAAAAAAAGAAAAAAAAGAAAGATCTAGCAAGTATAAGTGTCTCTCCGATCATTAAAAGCGCGCTTTTCTCGGAGTGACGACACAATGTATTGAGATATCTCGGCGCGTCGAAGAAAAAGAGAAGAGTGGGGATCGTTCTCCTTTGCTGGGACCGTGCGTATCCCCTACTCCTCAGCTCCGTAGCTTTACCCCCACCAAAGGTCATCCGATTAACGGGCGTCGCCGGCAAGCAGCGACGAAGTGCCAGAGGCGGCAGTCCGCGCTTGCGGGGCCTTACGAGAGGGGGTTTATAGTTCGTGTCTCTCTCACTACGACGTATCACGTTACTTCATCGAGATTAATCGCGATTGTCTATAATCATAGAGATATCGATTAGAATGTATATCGATTGACGAACGGGAATAATAAAAGCGAGTTTAAGATACTTTTAGAAAGTCGTTTGAGGGGAATAAGTCACGTGTATAATAACTACAACGACGTAGTCGTCTCTCCTGTGTGTTGTTTACCAGAACGATAAGCGTATTCATTGTTTGGAGGAGGATACTCGTATCGTAAACGCAGACACCCTCTCCCCTGCCCTCTCTTGCCCTCCCCCCGTTCGACATATTATCCGTTTCTCTTTTTTTATTTAAAGGCGATACCAACACGCTCGTGACAGATCAACACGTTTGTTTCCTCTAATGTGTTTTCTCTAATGGTATTGGTAAAAGGACGTCCTATCAACCAAATCATGTATATTCATTGTTATGTTTATAATATCGATCGTTATGTTTCAATATAAAATCAAGAGGAAAAAGTGATCGAAAGGGAAAGCTATATTGCCTTAGGGAACATATCTTTAGTGAAGAGATAAAAGAGAAGTATCGTTAATAGAAAAACTGGACATTCGAAGTTTCTCTCTGTTGCCTTTGTATGTTAGCATTGGTTCTGATCGAGAAGTCACCGAGAGTACTCTCACGTTCTTGGAACGTTTCTTCGTGGGGAAGAAAAAGGGAAGAAAGAGTGAGAGTGAGAGAGAAAGAGTGAGAGAGAGAGAGAGACAGAGAGAGACAGAGAGAGAGAGAGACAGAGAGAGAGAGAGAGAGAGAGAGACAGAGAGAGACAGAGAGAGACAGAGAGAGAGAGAGAGAGAGAGAGAGAGAGAGAGAGAGAGAAACAGAGAGAGAGAGAGAGAAGCGTGGGTCTTCGTCCAACATCTTTCGACGTCCACGGCTGGTGCAATAAGAGAAAAGCTTGTCCTGGAAAACATCGAAGTGAGATTACTCTCCTCCTACGAGAGAATAGATCGAACTGTCGGGAGGAAACAAGAATACGTTCGATTCTAAGAAAATAGAGGATCGATACATCTTCATCGTAAGTAAGAAGGAAAGGAAGAAATAAATAAAGGAAGAAAAAAAATTTGGAAAAAGAGAAAACGCGAAAGAAGAAAAGGGACTCTGTAAAATAAAAAAAAAAAATATTTATTTCTACGTATAGCCGGAGGCTATCAAGACCCTTGGCTGATCAAGATAGGTCCTTATCTACTTGAACGATCCGAACGAAGTAAACGATCGCTAGGTGAATATCTCGTGGGTGGAGAAACGCGATGAGGGGGAGGAGTCGAGGTACTTGGTGAATTACGTTTTAAACCACCCCCTCTAACCCCCCTACTCAGAACAGTCTGCCCGCCAACAGTCTCCTTGTTCCAGCACCGGTGGAAAAACTTTTTCAAGTAAACAGTAATTATTGTAGGCGAGAGAAGGCGATCGTGATTAATAATCGGCACCGGTTGAACATCGAGAAACCTCGTGAGAAGAGAATAGAAGGGAAGGAAATAAAGAGAAGAGAGAAAAAGTAGCAGCGTGGGCGTTCGTGCCTGTGACGTGTGACGTGTGCGTGTGCGTTTGCGTGCACTCGCGTGTATGTATGCACATTTACAACACGGAGGACTACGTACTCCTTCGTACCCTGGGTACAAAGAGTGTTAAAGAGAAAGAAAAAGAGAAAGAGTTGTACGATCGTGCAAATGATCGTGCCCTTACGATCCTTTCGATCGTCGATCGTCTTAGTGGATGCCAGATTGCCTGGATGCCAGTTTTGGAAGGCGGAATAGCAAAGAAGCGTGGTGCCGATAGGCTCGGTCGCAAAATGCGAATGAGACTTTGCACCGCATCGAAGGAGTCCTATACGCTGCTCTCCAAGAAACGGTAAAAAAAAAGAAATAATAATAATAATAATAATAATAATAATAATAAACCATTTATCCTTAAGTTAATCTTAATTCTATGATCAATCGTTGAAAATTATGGTTTTTCACGTGTCACGTAACACAATAAAAATCGTCAAAATACGAAGTTCACGTTGGATACGATGGAAATGATCGTTCAGTGACCTTTCTTTCCATCAGTTGAGATCACTAACGTATATCTCATCGGAATTGCTAGTTTTAACGATCGACGATCGTTTTCGAGATTTTCCAAGCCCTACAACGAACGACCTATAATTTAGCTCTCGGTCCGAACGATTCGGATCCCACGAGTAACTGGCTTCGCGTCCTCGTTCGTTCATCTCTTCCTACCACGGCGGTGGCGCTTACTACGTGTGTCTTCGTGTTTAGCCACTTTAGAAGAGTAAGATCCGACTATCGTCGTGTCTCGATGGGTTAGGCTTGCACGAGCCACCTAGTCCCTTCGGTAACTAGACGTAATCTTCCGGTAATTTAGCAAATGACAGTCCGTAAATATTTCGTTCGTAAATTATGATTACGGGTTTCTGATCGTTTGTTTTGCCGTGCCTCCGTTTGGGGAAAAAGAAAAGAAAAATGAAAAAAAAAAAAAAAAAAAAAAAAAAGAAAGAAAGAAAAAAAAGAAAGAAATAAAAACAAAATTAAACATACGAAGACACGTAGATCTCTCTCTTTTTTTCTCTCCCTCTCTTTCTTTATCTTTCTCTCTCTTCTCTTTCTCTGTGGAAACACATTTTTTGACATGTAAAAATGAAAAACGCGTTTTTATATGAAAAATAATATAAAAAAAACCGATCAAATATACTTACTCAAATATATTAATTATGAACGAAGGAAATTTTCAATGATCATAAAAAGGGGGAAGGGGGTTACCCGAGGGTATAGCTTTATTTCAGTAGGGTCCAGCTTTTCGTTCGGCGAATCAAATTTGTCGGTATTCTCAGTGGCACGTTCTCGGACATCTAACGTAATTTGTTCGTGCATATCGTAAGCCATTATGCATACAGACGCGAAAGATGTTGCTGCAGCGAATGGAATTATAGTAATCCGAGAGCCGACCCCAGCGCCTCTCTTTTCTCTCTCTCTCTCTCTCTTTCTCTTTCTTTCTACTTTCGTCATAAATATTCATCCCTATACGTGCGTTACGTTGTTAGACATATTTACACAGTTATGAATATGGGTAAGCGGTCGTGGTCCAGCTTGGACCGGATTTCCTCTCTCTCTCTCTCTCTCTCTCTCTCTCTCTCTCTCTCTCTCTTTCTTTCTCTCTTTCTCTCCCTCTTTCTCTTCGAAGATTACTTCTCGTCTACTTGAAGCGTTTGCATCGCTTTGAAGTTTCGCGTGTCTTTCTAAAAAGAAGTTTTCTTCTTCTTTTTCTTTTCCCGTCTTCTTCTTCTTGTTCTTATTCTTCTTCTTTAAGTTGCACACACGCATGTACCATAATACAACCTTTCTCAGCAGGTATAACAGTACAGAAAATTTTAACCGAGGCGTATAATAGAATAGAAGGAGCGGAACGCGTAAGTAGACGCGCTTGCTTTCTGATTTATCCGACGATTTAGCCGATTTTAGCGATGGAATTTGCATGCTGGAAGGAAACACCGTTTTCCCTTTGCCGAAGAGCGTGTAAGAAAAAGATAAAGAGAGAAAGAGAGAGAGAGAGAGAATGAGAGAATGAGAGAAGCGAAGATGTTACGGCAGCCAAGCTATTCCGGCAATTTCGTTAAATACGTGCCGCGAGAAAATTGAAGATAATTTACACCTTGCTTACCTTCCATTCAAGGTACCAAACTGCGGTACCTTTTCGTGCGTATGCGCGCCCTCACATGAAGGGATACACACACACACATACACCTTTGATCTTGTATACTTAAGATAGACGTTCGTGAATATTCTCTCTGATAAAAAAAGAATATATATACACATATATGTGTATTACCACCGTGTAATCCGAGAACAAGTGGCTGTATGTTCGCGCGATATCTCTGACTTCTCTCTCTTTTTCTCTCTCTCTTTCTTTCATTCTCTTACTCTCTTACTTTCTTATGTATACACACGCAACATATATGTGTGTTTATGTATATATACATAATCTGTGCATATTTGTGAGGTTCTCGCAAAGTAAAAGTCGCAGCTGCCACAGTTTCGTCTCTACTCCTCGTCGTTTCCTTCCTCCTCCCCTCTTCCTCATTTCCTCTTTACTCTCGCGTCTTTACGCTTGTTACGAGGATGAATCAAAGCTCTGTATCGAAACGGAAGCTGCCATCCACTGGATTTTCGATCGACCGTTTAAAAGAGAACGACGACGACGACGACGACGACGACGAAAGAAAAAAAAAAGAAAAAAGAAAAAATAAAGTTACCAGTCATCTCATCTCCTTCGACGGATTTCCTTTTAAACGATCTCGTAACTCGAACTCGAAGATAGACTGTTTTATATTGCTTGCCTTCCACAACGATTCTTATCACTTTTTTTTTTTAATAGAACGAATACTATACTGAATTGGACGTTACTGTAACTAACGGATAATCGGTTCGAATGGAGTTGGAACAAAAAAGAAAGAAAAAAAAAGTTAGAAAAGCAGAGAGAGAGAGAGAGAGAGAGAGAAAGAAACACGCTAACGTATCAATCTTTTTATCTCATTCCTGACAGCTGTTATAAATTAATTATCCATCGTTTAAAGGAAATATGAAACGCACACACGTAAGTACTTTTCCTATACACAAGTTCGATCTCGTTCGTCGAATGATTGAATTCTTTTTCTTCTTTCTCTTTTCTGTCTCTCACTTTTCTTCTTTTTTCCGAAATCACTAATCAACGATTGATAGAGAAAAAATCAATGAAACAAAAAAATAAAGAAAGAAAAAAAATATAATCTGTTTTGTACGTGACCGTTCAACTTATCCTAATCAGGTATACACGGAAATTATGTTTTTCCTGCTTTCTCTCTCTCTCTCTCTCTCTCTCTCTCTCTCTCTCTCTCTCTCTCTCTCTCTCTCTCTCTCTCTCTCTCTCTCTCTCTCTCTCTCTCTCTCTCTTTCTCTGTCTTTCGTGACCTCGAACGAAAAATGATTCGTATGATAAGAAAGGAACAAGTTATGCGAGCAATAGATAACCCCTCACAAGGACTAGAATAATTCGTTCATGATATATAACACTTGAAGTGATTCGCAAGAATAGTTAGTTATTCGTTGGCGTGAACAGTTGGTACATTCTTTCTCTCTCTGTCTCTTACTTTCTTTCTCTCTCTTTCGAATCATGTCTCGCGATAAGAAAAAGTCACAAAGCTAGTATAGCGCGCGTAATAAAACTCGGCAACGCGTATAATCTATGTTGAAATTTATTTCAGAGACCGCCTTACACGACGTTCACCCTATCACGGTGAACGTTTTCTTTACGTATCTCACGGACGCGTCCTCGTTTTCTTTTATTTTTCCCCTTCTTGTTTTATTTCTTCAATCATTTTCCATCTCGTCATTTCTTCTCCGTCGAAACGATCAAATTAGTTTCGAATAATACCGCGCTTTCACAGATTACACTCTTTCTTCCATCCTACCTCCTTCACTCTCCCTCTCTCTCTCTTTCTCTCTTTCTCTCTCTGGAATATTCATTTCTTGAAGGCTCAATTGAAAGCAACTCGTTTGAACGTGTAGCTTCTCTTAATTTCGTGACGTTCGTATCAAGTTACATGACTTTATCGATATCTCTCTTTTTCTATCTCTCTTTCTCTCTCTCTCTCTCTCCCTCTCTCTCTCTCTTTCTCTGTCTCACTGTCTCTTTCTCTGTCTCTCTCTTTTTTCTTTCGCGGAAACGAGAAATAATCGAACAGAATGGTCCATTGTGTAATAGCAGTAACGATTCAGCGCCGCATGGAATTCCAAGAAAAGAGCAGTGAGACAGAGACACATGGAGAGAGAAAGAAAGAGGGAGAGAGAGAAAGAGAGAGAGAGAGAGAGAGAAAGAGAGAGAGAGAGAGAGTAAGAAAGAGAGAGAGAGAGAGAGAGAGAAAGAGAGAGAGAGAGAGAGTAAGAAAGAGAGAGAGAGAGAGAGAGAGAGAGAAAGAGAGAGAGAGAGAGAGTAAGAAAGAGAGAAAGAGACGAGTAATACGAAAGGTCTGGAAATTCTGTCAGCGGTGAGATACCAAATACGAATTCATTCTTACATGTATGTATATCGATATTCGAGATCGTGACCGGGTTCTCTCTCTCTCTCTCTCTCTCTCTCTCTCTCTCTCTCTCTCTCTCTCTCTCTTTCTCTCTTCAGTAAGAGTCACTCGGTATAGTAAATAACTATACACGACACATAAGTATGTACCACGTTACTGAACTTACTCGAGCGTCTTATGGGTTTTGACGAGTCGTGGAGTAGGCGAATACGCTCGAGAGCCGCTATCTTTTGTCGTTAAATTCGATAACGAATAACGCACCGCTGAATATGCTGGAAATAATTCGACGATTTAATATATCACATACCTACGTACATATGTATGTACGTATATGTATATACTTGCATACATTGTTGAGAAATATTTATCGTAGAAGGAGTTAGAGCTAGTAGAGAAAGAAGAAGAGAAAGAGAGAGAGAGAGAGAGAGAGAGAGAGATCTTGTGGTCTGAGTTACTTTCTCGTTACGCCATATCGTAGTCGGTTTCATCAAAGTCGAAGAAAAATGATGATTTCTTTTACTTTCCACACGGTATGTCCTTGTATCTCTGGTCATAAATCCTCATGGTCGATATTATCGCCTATACTTAACAAGAAACTTCGCGATAGGTGAATCAAGTTAATAAGGCTATGAAAAATATTAAACAAACTTTAAGAACATAATAAATCTTTTCTTTTCTTTTTTCTTTTCTTTCTATTTTCTCTCTCTCTTTCTTTCTTTTGTTTTACTTTTAATTAAATTGAAATTTAATTAATATTATATATATATAATATTAAATTTAAATATTTCTTTTTCTT